TAAGCAGATGAAATGGCAAGCTCAGCAATCTCTTCCCAAGTTAGACCTTCTTCACATTGAATTCAGCACTTAGATCTTGTACATTTTTGCTTCTCTTTCTTAGAGTGGTATCCGGTTCCGGGATTTCCCATCCCAGTCCCAGATTCCTGTCCCAATTCCCATCCCAAGAATGGGATCGGGTTGAAGCTCAGCTCAACAGAATGGGACTGGGTTGTTTAACAGCATATTGGAATGGTTCCATGGGAGCTGGAATTGGGATGGAATTGGGACCAGAATCAAAATCTAGCTAATAGAACAGTCCTGGGACCTGGCCATGACAAAATGGGATAGGACCAGGATTTCAATATTATATATGGGACAGAACCAGTAAAGTATAGAATGGAACTGGAAATCCTGGTCTCATTTGTATTGTCAAAAGATAACAAAATTTGGTAACAGTTATAACATAATTTTATCAATTTATTCAACTTTAGAAAAGTAATAAAATTTGATAATACTCTTTGCATAATTGGATTATATTGCAAGCTATTAGACTTTAGCTACTTGAGTCTATCTATTAATAACATTAATATATTTTCTGTTTCTCATCTGAATTAAGTAGTGAATTTAGCAGGCTTGCAATCTCTTTCTGTATAATTTCTGAAGTATCTTAATCATCTTGATTATCTTGAATAACTTTCTTGGCCAACTTCTTATATAATATGAGTACTTTATCTAGTATATGCATCTTGTTTTCATGTTTAAGTAGTATAATCTTCTTGATTGTAGATGCATGAAGTCATAATTATTAATAATAATATGTATTTTAAGTAATATTGAAAATCTGTTCTATCTCAACCTTTGTAAAAAATACAGCCAGAATATCTCTTGCCATCTGAGTAACAGTTAGAAAATCAGGCTCTAGCATTCTTCACTGTTTCAGAATTAAAGCTCAAGATAATATCAAATTCTTATTATTTAAATATTACTGTATTTCATTTTGGAAATTTGCTTATCTTTAATAAGATTTTTCAAAAATCATTTACTCAATATTCTAGAGAAGTTAGCAGAGAGAAAATCAGAATAATACTTATAACAAATATACATCATTCATATCAAGTATTACTTTTCTTGACTGTTCATATTTCTCATAATACTTTTTGTAAAACCTCAAAATATATTATTAGTATATTCTATGCTTATCACTAGTCCAATTCTCTAAATTATATACTCTCATGCAGTATAATAAATAAAGAGCAGCAGCTACAGCTAGCAGCTTACTTTTTGAATGTTTAGTATTATTATAGTATTTCTGAAATTTCAAGCTGGCAGCTTTAATAGCTTCTTCAATATTCTCTCTTGTTATTAATTATTGGATCTTGTTCTCCTCTCTTTTTAAATACTGGAAAAGATGATTGTAGATTATCTATACTAGATAAATTATTGGGCTTGTTGTTTTGAACAGTATCTTGATAAATCAACTGAATAGCTGCAACAGTTCAACTATATACTCTATCTGCTTCCAGTCATGATTCAATAAGTAAAGTCTTTAATATTTTGGTGATAAGTTCTGAATTTATGAGTTTACAGCTTGTTAAAGCAACAAGATATAAACACATATTTTATAAATAAAATTTCATCTTGTGCAAACATCTTAAATTATCTTGTGCTGGTTCTCTTGTTGATATTCTTGAAAACATGCAGTAAGTTGAGGGGAGACATTGATTACATTAATAATAAGATGAATCTATTGTTAAGCAAAGATTAGTAAATTAACTCAAGTATATCAAGACTGTTATCAAATTTTGTTATCTTTCTAAGAGTATTTGTAAATATGTCTGTTGATGCTAGATTATCAGTAATTAAGCTCTTATTAAAGATAGTGAGTAGAGTATTATTGTCTGGCTGAATCTTGAGATTGCAAATCAGCTCTTGAACTACAAGTTGAATCATATAAGCAAGACAGAGTATTGTTCTACTGTCTGCATCTTAATCAGTTGTCTTGTTTAACTGCTGCAATGCTGGTCTCAACTGATATATAAGATGTGCTTATATGATATTATTATTTAATGCATTGTTACTTGTAATTGCAAGAAGATTGCTCTTAAGTCTTCATACTGCTAATAATTATTAGAGAATCTCTGTCATATTCTTGCTAGTATAAGCATTCTCTAAACTTTCAAAATTCAGTAAATGCTTACAGTACTCTCAATTCTTTGTAATGTAATAATCATTAATTACCATAAAGACAAGATTATTGGAACTTGTCTAATTATCTACTGCCAGAGATATCTTGATTATTGGATTATAGTTAAAGAGAAGATTTTAAAATAGCTGATTGTATATATCATTCATGACCTAATATAATATTTCTTGTGTGAATATCTGTAATGCTATTGCAGGGTTAAGCATGGTTATTAATATGTGAAATGCTGGATTCTTGATAGCACAAAATAAGAGATTTAAGAATATTAATATTTGCACAAGTTACTGAAGAAAATTATCTTGATTGCATTCAAGAACAGACAGATCTGAATCTGTTTGAGAATGCTTTAAAAACTATTGCTAAGATATCAGAATCATTACTAAAATTCATTACATTTGAAAAATTAGAATTCATGATCTATTATTATGTTAACTAGAGTATTACTCTGTCTATTACTAGTTTTTGTACAATCTTTGCTGATTAAATGCTTCTTCAGACTACTTGTACTGTTTTAAGAAAAGCTTGAATAACTAAGAAAGATTTAGCAATGCTTGTAAATCATCTCTGAAGTACTTTTAGAATGCTCTGTTATCTGATTAAATTTTGGCCAAAAATCAGAATAATGTTGCTTTGTCTTTTAGTTAAGGTTATCACAGTTCTTATTCTTAATCAACTGAGCAGCTTCAGTAGTCAATCATTAAGTAACAAATAACTTATAATGCTGCTTCTTCCACAATACAAATTATTTTTTTCCATGTTGAACTATAGTTAATTCTGAAGAAATCTCTGTAGATTTTGCTTGTTTGCTAGCTTCAGTCATTTAATTAGGTTTTTTTTTTTTTACAATCAAATTGATTTTTCTCTGAGTTCTGTCTTAGTTAAAAAGGTAACAAAATTTGGTAACAGTTCAAGTAAAATTTAATAATCTCCAGCTAGTTAGGCCTATTCTACTCTGCACAGTAACCAACTACAAAATCATCATTATCTATAAAATGGAACATTCTTCTTCAGGAAAATAAAACATTTTGCCAATTTAATAGTACTCCATTCTCAAATTAATATAAAAAAAGAACTAAAAACCTAACTTTCTTCTCTAGATATTAATAATTCAATTATCATTCTTCTTACTATTCTTCTTATTATTCTCATTAGAGAACAACACAATCTCAAAATCATCTTTCTTCACCTTCTCTAAAGCAGGCAGACTATTGTTGTCTTCAATTAAATTCTGTAATTAGCTCAGAAATTCTCTCATTCTTCTTCTTAATTCTCTCTCTTGATATACTGACTACAGCAAGACAATTATAATCATGATTCATGATCTTGATCTCAAGCTTGACTATCATTTGTTGGAACTAGACCTGCTTATATACAGCAATAGAATGCTGCAGCTGGCTTGTTTTGGCCTAAATATGTCAGAACTGTTATCAAATTTTATTACTTTTAAATTCTATTTTCTTGTCCTGTCAAGCTTCATTCTCAGTTTCTGTAATCTCTTCTCAGTAATACTTCTTCTTCTGTTCTCTCTTCTTTTTCTGAAATACTATAAGCTGGTGCTTATAATACTTCTTTAACTTACTCTTAACAAATTACTTGACTATTAACTATTTAATAGCTTTATTTTTAATTATCTTGCAATTCTTCTTACTGCTATTCTGTCTGCAATAAATGTCAATATAATTCAATGCAAACTACTGAGAATACATACCACTTATATTTGGCTCAGATTCTCTTTAGTATATTATAGTATGTCTTGCAATCTGTCTCTTCTATCTTGAATATATCTTTTTAATAATCTTTCAAGATCTGGCAGTACTTCTATGCTGCACAGATCTTCTCTCTTATTAAATATTGTGTTAGCCCCATCTTCACAATTGTATGTGATGAGTTGAATTGAAGACACTACATAATGGAATTATAGAGTATATTAACTAACTACTTGTATAGAATAATTACTATACACATTGTTTACATTCTACAGGTATATTACTATAAGCAAGCTCCACACATTGTTGCTATACTAGCTACAGAATAATGAAAATATAGAGTATATTGATCTAGTACTTGCATAGAATAATGACTATACATATTATTTACATTCTACAGGCATATTACTATAGGCAAGCTCAATATATTGTTGCTATGCTGGCTGCAGGATAATAATATAAGATCAGTCTCTCTTCTCTTCTTTTTCTCTTTCTCTTCTTCTTCTTTTTCTTCAGAACTACTGTTGATAATTCTTCTCCCTCTTCTGGTTATTTACTGTTCTGCAAACCTCCCATACAAGAACCTGCACTGCAACAAAATGGGTTGTATTAAGAGATAAGTGCTTGCAGAATACTGCTCTGGTGCACATTATTTACTGACAAGATGTTAGTTTTCCCTGTATGTGTCCATTTTGTACAGTCAGAGAGAAGCAGCACAAGACTGTATTGAAAGAATAAACTCTGAAGAAGAATAATTAGTATAAAGTTAATAAAGATGTTGATCTGGCCAACTTTAATCAGAAGAACTTATGTCTTCACCATTCTGTTTATAATTGGAAGTCCAGCACTTGTATGTCAAAAAGTAACAATTTTTGATAACAGTCTTGATGCTAATTAATGAAATAAATGTCATCAAGAAGATCTATTACTTTCAGAGCTCTACAGAGCTAATTCTTCTGATGACTCTATTTCAGCAATTGATTTAGGAAATTACTTTGTTCTGTCATCAAGAACATGAATATTACTGGTAATATTCTACTATTGAGTTACTTCAGAAGACTGCTGAAGTAATCTTATGCACTCTATTTGAGTGTAAGTCAGTATTAACAATGGCACCAACAATTATACTGAGTAATATAGACTTTGTTATGGCAATGATGCACTGTAAGCATATTACAGTTAATGCTGATGACATGAAGCTCATTCTTGACATCAGTATTATAACTGAGTTGAACTATTTTAGTCTGATTGATGTGTCTGATTGCTTCATTTCTGCTATCTCTGCTTCTGCTGCCATCACCTGCCATCTGTATTCTGTTCCTGCTCCATCAACTACTGCTGCTGCTCCACCACTACTATCACTGCCCACCACTGCCTCTCTGCCTTTCCCTGGTGCTGACAGGATCTCCACCTGTCAAATAATGGGTATTAGAGCCTCTGTCCAGTTCACAAAGCCAGTTCTGGAGGAGCAGGAGAAGAAGAAGGAGGAGAAGAAGAAGGAGTAGAAGAAGAAGAAAAAGAAGAAGAGAGAGAAGAGAAAGAAGAAGAAGAAGAGAAAGAAGAAGAAAGAGAAAGAGAATTATGACAATAACAAGAATAATAATGATGATAAGAACAATAACAATAATAATGATAATAAACTTGCTATTTAGGCAATTTTTAGTTATTTGCTGGCTTCAGCCATTACTTAGTTTTAATACTTTGTTTTTTTCTTTTACATCAAATTGATTTTTCTAAGAGTTCCATCTTCATCAAAAAAGTAATGAAATTTTATAACAGTCTCACACAAAATTTGACCAGTTTGACTTTTAACATAATAGGGCCAGAAAATCTGGTCTCATTCTGGTCCCACTATAGACCTGGCTGAGATAGAAAATGGAAGCCTATCTTCTCTGCTGGAATAGAACATGGGACATAATTTTCTATTTGAGGACAGGACCAGGAAATAATTTATGAGATAGAGATGGTAATGGGACCTCAAGCTCTTGAGTAGAATGGGACATGGGACTGAGATTTCATATTTGGGATCCCAGCTGTTTCTAAATTTGGGACCAGAATGAGCTTCAATGGAAAATGGGATTCTGTCCCAGTCCTGAATACTAGCCTACTCTTTCTCATTTGCAGCAAATATATTCTGATATTGCTTCTTCATAATAGTGGCATTAACCATTTCATATTTACAGGCCTTGATAATTTGGTCAAATTCTTCTGTTAAGCTCTGGGGTGAGCTCTCAAGCTCCTGCTCCATAAGATTCTTGACCTTATCCACCTGCCTATACAATTGCCAGGGGTTGTAAGATGTTTGTAGAATCCAGAATGACATCAAGTTGCTAGATTGGCTAGCTGGAGAAGTAGAAGTTCAGAGTTGAATATCCAGCTGCTGAAGAACCTGATCTGGATCAAATGAGGCTATTCCAGTAGTCATGGAGCCACTTTGAATGTTCTGAGTCTTGAAGACCTCCATACATGCTGTAAAATAGGCATCCAGAAAATCCACCTTTTTAATAGTATTGATTCCAAGCTGCATTTGCTGTTCAACTAGACTGTCATATGCCTACTTTAAAACTGCAAAAACACTTACATCAAGAGACTGCAAGAGGTGTGATGAATGTGCTGGCATGCACAGAGAAATAATCTTATTCTTTTTGCAGATATAATCAAATTCTGAGGTAAGATGACTGTTGTGCCCATCCAGAATAAAAAGTATATAAGTGCCAACTCTCTATGGATTTGCAGCAGGAATAAATAGCTTAATCAGCTATTTAATTTCTATCTCATCTGTGGTCCAGCCATTAGAACTAACATCAAGTCTCCAGCTAGCTGAAAGTCCATCAAACCAGTCTTCCTGTAGATTTTGCTTCTTAAGAATGATGTACAGGGGTAAGGCCCAGCCTGAGACATTGACTGATTCAATTACTGTGACTCATTCTCAATTTCCAGGCTGTAGAAGCTTTGCTCAGTTACAGCACTCAGTACTAGTAATAATCTTGATAGTTATGCAGAGACTCATTGCAAATTCAGTCTCATTAAAGTTGTAGATATCTTCTATTAGAATTCTATGCTCAGTAATTATATCCCTCAGAGTATTCTCACATTTTGCTTGCTCATGATTATAGCATCTGGAATAGTGGTATTTGAGCTCCATACAGTATTTAATCAGATTTGACACCTAGTTCTGGCCAACACAGGGGGGAGAAGAGGTAGGATCTTGCATGGCAAGAAGATGGTTGGTCATATTCTTAACAAATGCTAGTCAGGGGGGGATTCCTCATTTAGCTAGATCTAGAATTCATTGAACTAGCTGATTCTCTTCAGGCTCAGTTAATTTGGTTGAATTTGTGTGTAGACTGATTCATGCACATCTTTCTTTCATTCAATAATATAAGATAGTATAAGGCACATTAAATAGCCATGCAGCTTTAGCAATTGAGCTAATTTCTTGCTTTTTAAGTGTAGAAATAGCAAGTTCAGTCCTGCTGTCTATTTCTATAGAGGATCTTGCATTTTTATTGCAAATTGGTGGCATTCTGATGTGTTGAAGTAGATGGTTGAGGAAGTTGAAAAAATATCTTTCACTTGCTTGCAGATCTCACTTGCTTGTAGATTATATTAGTTATGTGATCACCAGCTTGGTCATGTGCTCTAAATACAAACTAAACAAATACAATAACATAGATACAGGTTTTCCATCCTAACCACCATAATATTATAGAGCAAGAAATGAAATGTATATAGAAAATATAGATAAATTTCTTAATATTATTTAGCTAGTACATTTTAAATACTATATATTTCTGCTGCAGTATTTATTTATTTTATATCACTCTTTAGAAGAACTTATCACTTTACTGACTTTGTATTAGTATATCAGAATTACTTAAAAGTTTAATATTTATTATAAATCTGACTGTTCTGATACTGTATTTTTACTGTAAAAGTATTATTTTCAGATTTATTATTCTTCTTTTCTCTTTCTATATAATATTCTCTCTAAGCTGGTATAATTTAAAGTAGTTAATTAGAATATATTTCACTAATTAGGTTTTTCTTTTATACTTATATTTCTTATTATCTGTTTTCAAGATTTATATTCTTGATAAAAATTACTTTAGATTCATATTTCTGATCTATATCTGAGTAAGGATAAATAATAATAATCTTGTTAATTTTATATAAATCTTGAAAATATTCTTGATTAATTTTAATATTATATTATAAAGAATTTAGTTAGTACTTTTCCTGTACTTTTTTTTTTATATTTATATTATATATGCTGTGATTGTGTTTTCAGATAAATTAACAGTATTTTGAAGTAATATAATCTACAACTGAGTAGAATATTTAAGCAAGCAGAATATTAAATTTAAAATATTTTTAATTTTTTAATCAAGCCACTTTAACATACAAGTATGCCACTAATTTGCAATTAAAATGTGAGAAACTCTATAAAGATAGAGAAAAGACTTAAGCTCATAATATCTGCTTTTAAAAATAAAGAAATATTCTCAATTTGTGAAGCTATATACTTATTTAATATGTTATACTCTACTTTTATCTATTAACTTAAAAAGAGACCTGTACAGATAAATTTACACACAAATTTTATAAATTAACTAAGTCTGAAGAGAATCAGCTAGTTTAATAGATACTGAATCTAAATAAACAAGAACTACTTTTGTAACCAGTACTTGTTGAGAATATAGCTAATATATTTCACAACTGAGTGGGGGACAACCAAGCAGGCAGGACACCAAAATTGCCATATAGTAATTGAATAGGTTCCAACCTGAAATATATATGCTCAACAATGCTTAATTAAATTAAATCAAATTACACTAGAATTAGAGCATTTTGTTCTTCTATGCCTGTGAGAACCACAATTACTACATCTTGGTAAAGCTTGTAAGTATGGTGCAGGCTTAGAAGCTGCAGAATTAGGAAATTAAATAATAAACTATTCAACAGATTTAGCAAACAGAATAATAAGATTCTGAGCTTTTTCTCTAGTTAGATCTTCTTTGTGTGGAGTTTTGCAAGTAGATCTCTTGCACTTTTGCTTCTCTTTCTTATTTACTGCAAAAATATTTTTGATATTGCTTCTTTATAATAGTGGTATTGATTATTCTATATTTACAGATTTTGATAATTTAATTAAATTCTTTTATTAAGTCTTGTAGTAAGTTCTTAAGTCTCTGCTTTATAAGAATCTTGATTTTATCACCCTATCTATATAACTGATAAAGGTTGTAAGGTGTTTGTAAAATTCAGAATAATACTGAGTTACTAAAGTAACTACTTAGAAAGTAAAGATTTCAAGCTGAATATCTAGCTGCTGAATAATCTGATCAAGTTTAAAGAGAGCTATTCTAGTAGCTATAAAGATATTTTGAATATTCTGAGTTTTAAAAGGCTTCTGTACAGACTACAGAGTAGATATTAAAAAAGTTTCTCTTTCTAATAATATTGAAATCAAGCTACATTTGCTGTTCAATCAGATTTCTATATACTTACTTTAGAACTGCAAAAATACTGATATTCAGAGACTGTAGAAGATGAGATAAATGTGCTGATATGCAGAGAGAAATAATTTTATTCTTACTACAGAGTACAGATCTGATTTAAACTCAGAAATAAGATAACTACCATGTCTGTTCAGAATAAGAAGTAGATAGATGCCAACTTTGCAGAAATTTGTAGTAGAAATAGACACTTTAATAAGTTATTTGATTTCTATCTTATTTATAATTTAACTATTAGAATTAATATAAAGTTTTCAGTTATCTGAAAGCTTATCAAACTAATCTTTCTGTAGATTCTACTTCTTAAGAATAAGATAGTGGGATAGAGCTCATTTTGATACATTAACTAACTTAATTACAGTAACTTATTCTTAATTTTCAGACTGTAGAAGCTTTGCTTAGCTATAGTACTCAGCACTAATGTAATTCACAAGTGAGCAAAATCTTCAAGTGATGAAAGATTAAATTAAGGCATCTTAACTAACTAGAATTTAACCTGAAATATCTACACTCAACAATGCTTAAATAGATTAAATTATATTGCAATAGAACTACAGCAGCTTCTTCTTGTATAGCCTAAAATATGGCAGTTTGTACACCTTGGTGGTGCCTATAAATATGATGCAGGCTCTGAAGCTGCAGGCTTAGAGAGTTGAGTAACTGACTGTTCAACAAGTTAAGCAGGCAAAATAGCAAGTTCAGCAATCTCTTTTCTAGTTAGACCTTTTTCACATTAAATTTGGTGCTTAGATCTTGTATATGTTTGCTTCTCTTTCTCATTTGCAGCAAATATATCCTGATATTCATAATAGTGGTGTTGACCATTCTATATTCACAGGTCTTGATAATTTGGTCAAATTCTTTTATTAAGTTCTGGATGAGCTCTCAAGCCCCTGCTCTATAAGATTCTAGATCTTATCCACCTGCCTATCCAAGTGCTGATAAGTGCTACTTGGTGTTTGTAGGATCCAGAATAACTGAAAGTT